TTTTTTAGCCGTTAGAAACTGCTTAAACTGTTACTCATCTGTTCTGTTATGTGCTGGCTTGATTTATTCAAAATACTGCTGTGACCAACGGTCCAATCGTACGTAACGAACTACTGTATCCTATACCTGCCTCGTGACCGCTTACGTAAGCGTACGCGTCGGTTAATAAGTTAATAAGTTAATCCAAATCCCCTAGAATAACCAAAAATGAACCTTTCACTTTAATCCTATTACACGAGCAGACGAGAGAACAATAGATTGGCCTTTCTTTTCCTACCCCTGTTCATTTTTGGTTATTCTAGGGGATTTGGATTAACTTATTAACTTATTAACCGACGCGTACGCTTACGTAAGCGGTCACGAGGCAGGTATAGGATACAGTAGTTCGTTACGTACGTCGATTGGACCGTTGGTCTTAGCAGTATTTTGAATAAATCCAGCCAGCACAAAACAGAACAGATGAGTAACAGTTTAAGCAGTTTCTAACGGCTAAAAAAACACCAATATAACGGAGTCTAACGGCTAAAAAACCACCAATTTTTGCCCTAGCGCCCTTGGTCAGTGATGAGCGTTACTAAAAAAAATTTAAACGAATTCCATGACCGGGCTGTTACTATTAAAAATGTGGAACAAAAAGAAGATATCCACTTCTGGAGAGAACCAGTGATGAAGATCCTGGAAGAAGTAAAAAACAAAGATGATCGCTTCAAACTAAATGTAATCAATAGTGGAAGTTATTACGAAAAAACCAAAGTAATAGAGCCCAATGAGTACGATCTGATGCTGGACATGGAAAAACTAACACTTGGTAAATGCGATTTGTATGACAGCGATGAGGACAATCTTACTATGTATGATCTTCCGGATGGTGAGTTAAATATTGGATATTTTCATGAATAAATCTATCCACCCCGCTGCTGCCTTCCACTCATGCATAATCTACGAAAAAGCCATACAAAAAATGAACGTCTTTCTACTGACATCATGCTCACATTAATCTATTTAGTAATTGCAGGAGYACAATTCCATTGCTCTAGCACAAAAATACCTGAAAAATTACATCGTCTTGAATGTATGAAAGAAAACTGCATGACTGGCAGCTAGCTTGCCAGCGTGGTTTTCATGTTTTTGACACATTGTAATCTTTCATTTGGTAACAATAAAAAAAAATTCCCAGCTAAGTACTAAGCAGTTGATTTATAGAAAAAAATCAAATGTCTTTGTTAGGGTCTTACCTTAAAGTTAGGTATAGTAACTTACCATTTACACTGTATTATATATATTTTAATATATATAATAAATTAGGATACACTTTAATATAATTCAGCGTTAAACTTAATAAAAAGAAGTATCCTCGTTTCAACCCAAGCCTTAACATACTTGATGTACATATACGTATACGTATGTAAACAAAATGCTATACCAGTATTGCAATTATACGTTAATGTCTGCCAAGCATGAATAACATAGACTTACAAATGATGTATTTATGTTTTTACTAAAATGAAAAAAATGCAATTTATTAGTGCTCCACTAAGTTGATCTGCTAATTTCAGCTATACCAATATATAATTATGTCCTTATTTAGTATCATTCTTTATTTTTAAATTTTGKTTATGCTAGGTTTCACTACAATAATGATTGACCAAGGAGAAGAATGTGAGTGGAGGAAGGATCAGTGTATTGCCAAGGAGGAACATCTTCTAAAGGCAACCAAAATCAAGGCTTTGTTTGCTAAATATGTTCGTGAGGCCATTAAAAAGCTTAACAATGTCTTTGTGTGAGTATATTAAGCATGTCATAACCTTATTTAAGAAACACTCAACAGAGCCATGTCACTCGGGTTCTAAATTGCCATTTTATGGAATGAAACCATGCTAGAGACTTTAAAATTCTAGAAGTTTATTATATAAAAAGCTTTATTGATTAATTGGATAGAACCTGATGGTTTTCCTTATGGGAGGGGATGGGAGGAGGGGAGGAGAATATATTAGGGAGTAACAGGTCAGCTAAACTGAGAACTACCTCTGATCTTTAATTTCGACCTCCTCTTTTTGTATTTGATCATTGATGCTATTTTTACATTTTCCCTTGCTCATACATGCATGATTTTGGAACAGGTTACTGGTTGGCTGTCATCGTTTTC